GCTTTACTGAAAAATTCATGCTGACGCTGTTTCCGAGGCAATCTCCTTCGATTCCGGTGAACAGGTGCTAAGCAATCGTGCGTCATATGACGGACATCATCAGAGCGAGGTATCATCGTCACAACCAAATTCAACCTAAGGGGTCAAGAAAACTCACCGGTAAACCTCTAAAAAGCGGTATATATACTCTACATCTGGTATAAAGTGATTTGGTTAGTTACGGTCATATCTTAACTTAGAAACCTGTGTATGTGTGTTTGTATGTGCCAGTTTGTGTTCGCTTATGCACGAAACCCGCAGGTGAGTTTTCTTGACTCATTAGCTTGAATTTTGTTGTGAATATGTTACCTCGCTCTGATGATGTCCGTCGTATGACGTCAGCATGAATGTGGAACCGACCTTCGAATCTCTTCACGCAACACTTCCACTCGAAATGGAAGTGAGCTCAACAATTATGAAACAAGAGATTCCTCCAAACCCAACTTTTCTTCGCATATGAACTTCACTTGTCTCTTTGCCGAATTCTAGCTTAGTGCTACGAATGGCAAGGCTCACTGACGACGCCGACTGGGAATGTACCAAATCCACTGTCCGACGATGGAAAGTATCATAACTACTCGGGCAGCGGATTCTGGACAAGGTCGCCCTGACAACAAGATTAAGGCTGAACCGCGTCTATGCAACAAAGTAAAGGTCCTATCGCCGGTAGAGTAATTGTATAGATTGAGCCCGAAGAAGAGCGGAAATATTTTGATACTTAATCGAAAAGAAAACGCAAAAAGTACATTCACAACGTAGACAAAATTGACTGACATCCCCTAAAATGTCCAGCCTTCTATGCTAGACGTAATTATGTAGAACGTGAAACAACGTTCAGTACTACTAAGTTTCTACTGATACAGCCAAATCAAAGATATGTGATATCCACTTTCAAGGAGACGATTGTTTGATGGTCTCAAACTGCTGTCGTCTTGTCAGAATAGTCTCGACTGGTCAGGCTCCAGCTGACTCAGTAATTGGCGTCAGTCGAAGTCTAGTACAAAGACGAAGCGGGTACAAACTAGTTTTGACCAGAATATGCGGGCTTCGCCTTAACAACAGAGCCCATAAGAGCTGCCCCCAACTCGAGATAACACCTTATTATGGTTTGGACAAACGTTGCTGAATTCATCCTGTAGAACTGGTTGTCTCCCGTCGCCCGTATCTTAACAGGCCCCCAGAAGGCACATATACCCGCCCCAATTTTCGTCAGAAGAAAGACATCGAGACGAGCACTGATATGACGCAACGGTTTCGAAAAGCGTTTTCATCATTAATCACCTCCATTTGGTGAAGCCAAACACCAGAAATTGTAACCTCGTGTCCTGTTTTCTCAATTACCACTCATCCAACCGGGCTGGCTTATATACCAACAGAATTTGTCTACAAAATAGCACATACCAGCACATAAAGTCTGAGCATGAGTGTCGCTGTTTGTAGAATACTTCGATTGGTTATCTTCCGTCGAAAGCAGAGAGATTTGTCTGCATTCCGACCTGTAGATAGGGGTTAGTTGGCTCCGTTCCACATCACTGGTGCTCGATTTTAGACTGGTTATTAAATAAGGTCGTCTCGACAGCTGGGCCGCAATCGAAGCCAAATTGACCCAATCTGACAATGGGTGGGTGAAAAAGTTACTTTGTCTTCAGTCTAGCTCCTCCTCCTCCTCCTTTTTTGGACAAACTAGAGAGTCAAGGACATCTCAGCCGCAATATTGCAGTAACAATAAAATCAAATAATGAGTAAATGGAATTATTGGTAGATTAGCTTTTTTACAGGTCTCTATGACAAAGGAAATATTTTAAAATATCTCTTTTTCTCGGCAAACTTCCATGTCTCACAAACGTAGGATTATATCATCCTTTTATTCTCCGCCCCAGTCTTAGCGTCACGACCAACGGGCGTCGAGCCTAGCACATGTTAGTCCAAAGTTTCCGTAGCAAAGATTACATTTTAAGAAGCAATAAGACCTTTTGCAATCAAGTTGGTTCA